AAGACCAGTAGAAGAGTTCTGGACTATTTCAGATTTCCCTGGCAGGAAAGAGGGAGAAAAGAAACCCTGATAGAAGAAAGTGTAATTGCTATTGTATGGTATTATCTCCATATCCCATAGCAACAAATCTTATTATATTTTTTTCTTATTTAAACCATATTCATGAAGGTTTTATTGCTAACTTGATCCAGATGACTGATCAAAGCATAGTTCATTATTGCCACCTTGCTAAAATATTTTTAAAGGCAGTTTTAATATTACACTTTTATAGCTACATATTGCCATTAAGCTATTGAGTCTATTACTAGTCAATCAAGGATTTTCATTTTGTTTCAAGAGCTCCTTGGATAAACTCTTCAGAAATGTCAAAGAGATGGAGTATATGGCACCTTTTCACAGATGGTGTTCATCAGGGATTTTAGTTAATGGATAAAGTTTCAGTTTTCTGTGGTTGACTTTTGGTGCTAACAAAAGTATTCCAAAAGCCCCTGCTCTTCTAAAGGCTAGGGGATAGTAAGGAAATGAATCCCATAACACCACCAAACCTTTTATTCTTAATGAGGTAAGTAACCAGGGACATGGAGTATTTCACCAGGTCCATTTTACTAAAGAATGGAATATATCTTGAAGAAAACCAATTCAACTTCCAACAGCTCCAAAACTATACATTTAACCTACTCTCCCACTCCCAAGAACAGCAACCAAAAACAAATATACAGTAAGAAGAGTTAAACTATCACATGAAGAGTTATATACTCAATTGGCTCATCATAGAAGCTAATTATGTACTTTTCCCTTCACCTGTTCTAAAATACTCTATACCCATTCTGTTCATTCCTTCATATATCCATACATTTATTTGACACACATTTACTTACTACTTATGTACCAGACTCTGTGCAGATGGTGAGTACAAGGGTGATTCAGACATAGTGCTTCCCTCAAGAGAATTTCAACCTAGTGGTGGAGAAAGCCAAGAAAGCAGGTGATTATGTACCTTCACTGGGATAAGTGTCATGATGGAAGGGGGCTTGCTTGGAAGTGGGTACGGGGTCCTGGGGAAGGCAGTGGAAGAGCACCTAATCCCTTCTGAGGCAGGCTTAGGGAAGGCCTTTCTGGAGGTGATGGTGTTGAAGCTAAAATGGGTATAACTTGGGTGAAGGGAGAGAGGATGAAGAGCATGACAGGAACAGAGAATAGCACATCCCAGGGATGGAGACACGGAGCATGAGAGGTGAGGTTGGGAGGTGAACAGCAAGCAGTTGCCCTGCAAGAGCTCTATAAGCTGTGGAGAAGCTGGGGCTCTTTTCCTGAGGGCAGTGGGGAGTCTCTGAGGAGCTTGAAGTCAGGAACTAACAGGGGTTGATGTCACTCCGGCTATAGATTGTGTTCAGTGGGAGGCAGGAGTGCGATGGGAGAGCTGTTAGAGGAGTCTTTCACCCTAGAGAAATAAGGTGGCGCCTGGAAGAAAGAGGAAGTGGAAAATGAAATCTGATTAGAGATGTCTCAGCAGTCATGACATAATATAGGTAAAACGAACGTAACACCTGTTAGCCAAAGGCAAACCTGTCAGGTCAGCAGTTTGATAGACACTGAAAAGGAAATAAAAATGGGCTTCAGCACATTGCTAAATGAGTCTGTGAGTTCCCAAGTGTAGTGCTGTGGAAAGCTCTCCCTCTCTCTAACTCCATATTAGTTTTCCTGGGACTCCAGTTATGACTGCCCAGAAGAATAGCTGTTTAAGTCTCTGTGATGGACACCTCGTGTATCTGTCAACTACAGGGATATGAACCATTGCACACAGAGTCATCTGGTCAGCGTGTCTGGAGTTAGTTGAACAAATGCTATCCTTGTTACAAATTTCTGCAGTTTTTTTCCATCGATCTTCAAGGGAGTGTTATTCATGGCTTCTCATCCTTCCAGGCTATTCTTGGTTTGTTAGGAAACCAATATAATTGGGTAAGGATGAGAATAGTGATGTAGATTAAAAAAAAATAAGAGAGATCCATTTTCAGTTTGGTGATTAAGTGGGCTGGATTGGTCAAACTTTTTTTGGAGAAGGAAAAACTAGCAACCAGCCTGTAAGAAATCGGTCACAGTTTAGGGGATATGTTACAAGCAAGATAAATAAAAATGGTCTAGAGTATCAGGCCAAACTCTCATTATTCATCTCTGTTTCACACTCTTCTCTTCCAGTCCAGACTAATCAAAAGAAGCCTCTTCCGCTCACAATTGCTATGTGTACATTTCCCCCAGATCTGGTATTCACATGAACAACATGGTTTATTTATATTTCAGCACCAAATTGGAAAGATGACATCATTCATTTACAGTCTTCATCCCATGACATGCCTATTCTCCAACACCTCATTTCAGCAGACACATTTAGGACTGCATATAGCATCTTGTTTAGCTTGTACATTCTTTTATGGGATACAGTTCAAAGGTAGGGAACTTTAGGCTTGTTGCTGGTAAGAAAATAATCTCATAAAATCACAGGAGCTTCCCCAAAGGATAAGGACATTATGATGTTTACAATAGCAGAGTTATTATTTGTTCATTTAGGCTTCATCGTTCAGCCCTGGTGAGCTCCTTCCTTCTTGACCATAGCAGGTCTTACAGCTCCCTTCAGGCTCTCCGAGTTCTATCAGAAGAAACAATTTCAGATTTATTAGTTCATGAGTTCAAAAGTACAGACTCCTGACAATACTGGAGTTTTGGGTGTGAACACTGAATTCAGAATCTTTTGTACAAGGGCAGGCTGAATGAGGGGACTCTCAGTACTTGGTTGGCAACAGCTCCAATGACCTGCTCTTTCTCACAAGCTATAACTTGTCCATTGGGTCTTCTGATGCTTTAAATAGACAAGAGAAGGATGAAAATGCTATCAGCTGCCAAATGTTGCCTGAGATTTTTTATTTAATTGTTAAGTGGATTTTTCTATTTTTATTGTTTTTATCCATATATATGCATTTTTTTCTGGGGACTTTCAAATATTGTACACATTTTGCAAAATGGAGTACGTTATGAGACATCCCCTGGCAGATAGAATTGGGATATGAAGTGTTTCCAAAACTTAGCAGAACCAAAGCATCTATAGGAAAGCTGTTTCTACCTGATCAGCTGTTTGCCTCTTCTGCTAGCAGCATGGCAAAGAGTAAAGGCTAGAGATTAAGAATTGGAAGACCCAGGAAATCTCCATGTTCTATGGAAAGAAGGAGACTCTAGGGGCCGAAATCTCTGCCTTCATTTTCTAGCTGCAAGTGAGGATAGTAATTATTCCTCCCAGGGGAGGTTTGAGGATAAGTTGGATTGTAGGTGAAACATACTACAAGAATATACTATGTTAGGTCCAGAATTATTGTCAGAATATTATTTATGTTATATGATAAAATTCCAACCGGTTGGAGGCTCTGCCATGCCAGCCTTTGATTTCCAGCTCTCTTGAAGTGCTGATGGCTCACTGTCATCTTGGGCCACCAGTGGGATTGTTATGGCAACTCATGAGATGTCCTCAACTCTCGGTGACCTTCCCTGGCTAAAAACAAATGTGCAGTCACCTCTAAGATGGCAGCATCCCTCACAATTCTGGCCCTTCTTTCTCTCAGTTCCCTCTTTGCAGCAGCATGCACAGTGTATTTACATCTACTGGGCCCTGTTAGATTCTGGGGAGAGACAGGTGAAAGAAGCAGCCTCAAGTCTACCACCCGTTGGACAGATAGATCTGAGGTTACAGAGAGACGATAAGCAGGAGGTGCACGTGTCCTGGCATTAGGGGTGGGATCAGGAAAAGTTTCCTAGAGAAAAAGTCCTGAATTAGCCAGACACAGAAGGTAGAGGTGAGGGAAGGTGGTTGGGGAGTTACTGCAGGCAGAGGAAACATGTATAAGAAGGAGAGGTTTCTTACTGTAAACAACAAAAATAATAACAGCATTTGATTTTTATGGTAAGCCTATTATGGGTCAGGTCCTGAACAGACACTTGAAGCCTATCGGATCCCTTGCTCCTCACAGCAACCCCAGGGAGGGAGGCACCATTACTCCCATTGTATAGTTCAGGAAATTGAAGCTTACAAATAGTGAACTCTCATAAGATCATGGAACCAGCAAAGAGATAGAGCAGGAATTGAATCCACAGAGTCTTCTCTCCAAATGTGTATTCTCTGCATTTCCTGCTTTCTGGGCTGGATATTTTTATCTGCCTTTTTCCCTCGTCTTTAGGCATTTTTCTCGATTCTGTGACCCTGTTCAGTCAACTCATTGCTGGTCTGTTTCTTGCCTTGCATAATAAAACAATACAATTGTATGTCCTGGGAATTTAAACCATGACACCTAGCTGCCTCGTGTGACAAACATAGTGGGACATAAATGACAGTGGTCAGCTCTTCCACATCAACTCTGCTCCTTTTGCCCAATTTCCCCAAAGAGCACTATCAGTTAAATTGTCCACAGAGAGCCCTTTCCTTAGAAGCCACCAGAGTGACAAACCTTCTCCATCACTACTTTTGCATTTGGCAGCTTTTGAGTGGATTCCTCTGCTTGTCTTGCAAGACCATTACTTGTCTGTAGTTTTGTGTCTCCACCTGGCCCTGTCCCATCTTTTTTGTCCAGGGCTTCCTTCTCTCGCTCGCTCTAGAGTGTAGGATGTGATTGTTGGCAGTTTCGTGATTGCAAGCTTACTCTGGATCTGTGTGATCGCTTGATAATGTAAAACAGAGCACCTTTGGGTATATGTCCATTTTTTCCCCTTTTAAGTCGCATGGTGGGGGGAGTACACTTACATCTTATGTAGGTCCAAGAACATGCAGCTCCAAGGATGTGACAAAGACCCTTTTACCAAATGGCAGGGTGTGCTCTTTATTGAGTCTCCATTTAACTAAAAATGAAAACTTCTGGGTTAGGAACAAAAGGAGCCCTCTAGGTGCTATAATTATACCCTGAATCTCTTTGGCTGGGCTTCCAGCTCTTAATGGAGGCTTCTCTGGTTTTTGTTCTGCGCAGACCCAGAACCGAATGAAGCTGATGGCGGATAACTACGATGAGGACCACCACCACCACCACCACCACCACCACCACCACCACCACCGATCTCCTGGGAGGTCGCAACATTCCAATCACAGGCCGTCTCCCGACCAGGTCAGTTTCATTGCCGCTTACCTCCAGGACCCCTCTTACCCCTTGGATATTTTAAGATAAAATAAATAATCCTCAAGAAATAATAAACAGCATAAAGTGATACGTCCTTTGAACTGAAACTAATAGCTTTGGTATTTATTTCCATCACTCAAGGAGTCTAAATGTTTTCCTTTCTCCTTCCTCTTTAAGGTTTTGTCTGTTCTTGTTTATGTTATGCATTTTCTTTCCTCCCCTCCTTTCTATTTTCATAGATATGAAGTCTACTGCTGGCTCAGTATCTAATAGTGGGTTACTTTGGAATGTCTCTTTCAGAGTTTTAAGAGAAAGCACTTTGTTTCCATGAGCTTGGCAACCAGAGAAGCCTTGAGTTTGCTGAGCACTTTCCTAGAAAATTCCTTAGTGATGCAAATTAATGGTGGGCTAAAACAACATGAAGGGAAATCAGTTTTGCTTGCATTTTATCTGGTGAAGTCAAGGGGTCTGGTTTATTTGATTTGGACCCTATCTTCTCCCTTGACTAAGTGAAGCAAGTGAAAAGATGGATTGACAAAAACAAAAATCTCCTGTGGTCCTCAATGATATTTGCATTCACCCACCAAATATAAAAACTATTGACAGTGCATAGGATTAAAACTCCTGAGGGTGAACATCATAGAAATTATGAAACTAAATGCAAACTAGCAGGTTAATATAGTCAATGTTAGCAGTATTTCCTCCTTTATTGTACTATGAGCTTCTTGTGTGTGTGATCCTAGTATAACTTATACAATAAATTTCAGAGGGATGGGGCCATAGGTAATGGAATAGAATCATCTGGATAAGTGTGAATGCCTTTGTTATATACTTCTGGGTATGTGAGGGGGCAGGCTTACTGGAATTACCTGTGTAAAGAGAGGTTTAACTGTTTGTTGGAAGAGGAGGTGCTTATTATTCTCCAAGATGTTTTTCAGATGGCTCTGTTTCCTATGCACCTCATGTCACTAGTATCCCAAAGGAGAAGTTAAGATTGCAAGTCTCCAAGGTGTTTTACCAGGAGTACAACTCCAGGGGGAGCCATTTATATAGAATGCAACATAAGAAATGCTCCCTGGAGCTGTACAGTGAAGTAGCTCCAACCTAGAAACCCCCTGCCCCTGACACCCAGCTTCGCCCTACCTTGTATTGGGAAGCATTTGCCCTCAGAGACCCCAACACTGCAGGTGTTCATATAGGACATCTAGTTTTCTGAAGCCAGGTACAGAAAGGCACCAGTTCATGTTATTAGCTTTCAAAATGGTTCTTAATTTGGCAATGAGCAAAGTAGAGAGAGATAAATTTCATGTCATTATCTTTATGCCTGTGGTTTTGCTTTGATTTCGCTTTATTTTTTCAAATCTCATCCCTTGCCATTACCACCACCTCCCCTGCACTCACCCATCCTAGTGTACCTGGCATCCTACTAATGAAACATCTCCATTCTTGGTCTTGGTCCCTGCCTTTTGGCACACTGCCTTTTGCTCCTTGACCTTCTCCCAGGAAGGGTAAATGTGAGGTTTTATTGGTGCTAGAAGGCCACCCTGGGCTTTCTCCCAGAGAGATAGGAGCAGAGAGCCCTACAGAGGCAGAAAGAAGGATTTGGAGCCCAAGTGGGCAAGGGATTCACACAAGGACCTTCTGAGATAACAAACAGGTTTGTTTCATGACAGAGACACATATGCTAATATGTCCTGCTAGAAACTGGACGCCAGATCAAATTTATCTGCCTGGTGAATGGTATTTCTCACAAAAGCTAGTCTCCTGCTGCTTTTCCAGAGATCATTATTAAATACAAAATAGAGGTCTTGCTGGCTTGGTTGACCCTCTTATGTTTGTCTGCCAACACTAGAGGTTGTCATAGGGCAGAAATCATTGCTACAAAATAGAGGTCTTGCTGGCTTGGTTGACCCTCTTATGTTTGTCTGCCAACACTAGAGGTTGTCACTGCTCAAAGGCAATGCCCTTCCCAGAAGAGTTAGCGTCCCTTGAGAAGTATCTGGCTAAGACGTGTCATCAGGATTTCTGGTTCACCTTTGTCATTGCTACTCTTAGGGGGATGGTGGTGGTCTTCCACTTTCCCATCCTTCATCTCAGTGACCACTCTAAGTAGCCCATTGACATAGAGGCAGAGAGCCTCATCCTCTTCTACAAGTGAGAAATTTAGGCCCTGGGAGGGGTGCTGGTGGACTGACCCGGGTCCTGCTTCTGGTTATTGGCTCCCTCAGCTAATACTTGGGGCACATACTCCATGCCAACTACTACCCTGGCCTTGGGAAAGAACATGATGGACAAGACAGAACCCCTGTCTTCAGGGAGTTTGCTCTCTAGTCTGAAGGCAAAAACCCAGGGGTCATTCAGTTTTTTTCTGGATCATGTCAATCAGAACATGAATTGAAAAGATAGTTATGACTTAACTAGGGGCCCATGACTTAGGGAGCTCACTCTACAGTGGAGTTCACCTTGAAAGTGACATACCCTTGACCAGAAGGATAACTTTGCATTTTTTTTAAGATTTTATTTACTTATTTGACAGAGAGATAGCTAGACAGGGAACCCAAGCAGGGGAAGTGGGAGAGGGAGAAGCAGGCTCCCGCTGGGCAGGGAGCCCAATGTGGGGCTCGATCCCAGGACTCCGGGATCATGACCCGAACTGAAGGCAGACGCTTAACGACTGAGACACCCAGGTGCCCCTAACTTTGCGGTTTTAAGCTGGAGTCAGCAAAGCTATAAGGCTTCCTTGCTACACTCTTTCAATTAGAGAAAAGAGAATTGACTAAGAAGACCTGCATGAGTAGGTTGACTCCAGTTATGGAAACGACAAGATCCTCTGGGCTGGTGACCTTTCTGACTAGGAATCTCAGGTCTAGGATAACCATACCCTCCGTTATAATCACCAACAGCTCATATGCTAATATATGGGTTGTTATAAAACTAAGTTCCAGAATGTCACAGTCATCAGGAGGCTGGGAAGTCTTTCCCAAATGTTTACAAACTCTATATATAATAGTGCAAGCATATATTCTAATATGTATAGAGTGGAGCTACTTCTCAGGAGAAAGTGACAGCCTTATGGAGACAGCTTAAGAGTCTGAACAATGGCCTGATTTGGATGGGATTTAAACTAAATGCCCATAATGTACCCATGTTAACTGAACTGACTTAAAGGGGAGAGGTCTCTTCCAAGGGATTCCTGACTTCCTTCCAGCCCTGACTTTTCCTATGGCCTGAGGGTTGACCAACAATATCTTCTGGAAGAGGGACTACAAAATGTTGCCATTGTCTCTTGAGCTTTATTAAGAGATCAGAACACATGAAAATAAAGAAATATAAGAAAACTAGTCACTTTGCTACTTTTCCAGAGAAATTCATTTTTCCTTAGGAAATTCAATTTAAGTATTGCTGGGCACTTGCAGAATTAGATTCTTTTTCCATTTCTTCCCTGTCCCTTTCTCCTTCACTATGATTTTGCTTTCTCCTCAGGAGAAACTGAATCCAAGGGTTATAAGTCTAGACGAGCATTTCCCAAAGTAACTTTTGGAACATTAGTCCCAGGAGGAAAGTTTTGAGACAAAGATTCAGTGAGTAAAGAATTTGGGGAAAATGCTGCATATCATAACTCAATCTTAGAGAGTCTTGGTGCAATTAACAGATCAAAGGATCTAAAAAATCATATAAGAAAGCTCTCCAATTTTATTTAATCCAGCATTTCCCAGACTTATTTGATCATAGAATCTTTTTTCTTTTCTTTTCTTTTCTAGTAACATCTGTGCTCTGAGAAATACTGTTCTCAGAGTATCAGGTGAAGAAAGAGACTACCCGGTTTAAAACATAGCTGATCCAGTTTCCAGCAGTGTTTTTCATCAGAAGGTGGAGATTTGAGGCAATTTCTGCTATGCCCTGTATAGCAGAAAATGAGAATGCCTCTTTCATTCATTTCTTGGGATACCTTTTTAAAGGCTATAGTGTCTGAGAATGAGTTATCCCACCAAAAATCCAGTAATCTGAACTAAGGAAACCATTATAAGACTGAGGACCCAGGAAAGCAAGGATAATCGTAAATGCACAGCCCCTCAGAAATTGAAAATGAATGTGATGAGGGGAAGGGACAATTTGGAGAACACATAAGAGAAGTCAGTAAGATGTGGCAGTCCAACAGCCTAGACCCTTACCTGAGAAAGGAGCAGGTGTGGTACTTGGAGGCCTATGACCCCATGATGGCCATAGCCATTGAAATGTCCAAGTAGGTCATTCAGACAAATCCTAGTAATAATACCTTAGGAAATTTTTCAAACCAAGAGGTGGGCACAGATATTTCCAAAGCGAGACAACAAATGGTTCCCAGGACACAAGCTGCTGATAAGCTTTGAGGAACAACAAAGACCAAAGAATAAATGGAACATGCTGGAACCACACTCGTGATTTTATTCTCAGTGAAGTGACCAAGATTGATTTTAGAAAAGCTAAGTGGAAACTCAACTTCTCCCAAATGCTCTCTGTACCTGTCACTGGTGTCTGTTATTTTGTCAAAGGAGCATCTTTCTTTGCCATATCAATTATGTCAAGTCTTTTTACTATTTTCCAGGCATCATATGATTTTTATGGTCCCAGGAAAAATCGTATTTTATTAATCTCCTAATAGCTTCCAGATACGAAGAAAAGAATAGCATCGGAGTGAACTCCACACTCCAGCCAACTCAAAATGCCAGGCCTCGTTCAGGCTGCCCTTGGGCATTCAAGACTCACATTCCTGTGCCTGGGTCTTAGGGTGGACTTTGGGTCTTTAAGGACCTAGATCTCACTGCTTTTTTTTGTGCAAAATGTGCTTCCATTTGTTAAAGCATCTGCCACTCTGATTCTAATTTGTCGGGGCCTAAATGTCAAAATCCTAAACATTTTTTTGTCTGGAAACCTCAGAATATATGGCCACGTTCCAAGCCCAGAATTTGCTTCTCTTCTCTCTCCCTCGTTTTTGAATGGAACTGCTCACTCACAGGAGTTGAGAAGCTCAAGGACTTTTGATTAATTCGAAGACTTTCAGATCCCATTTAAAATTTAAATTTCACACTTTACTTACAGAAATCCTACTTATAAGGGAGGGCTACAGAGTCCAGGAGCATGGAAGCATAACACTTACTAAATTATTCTGGTAAAAGTTGGCTGAAATTTATGTTCTATTCATACTCTGTTCCATATTGCGAAGTATATTCACACCTGTCTGGCCCATAGTAGGCACTCGATAAAT